AAATGCTGTACAAAATGTAACATTTTTCTAAAAAACATTAGTATTAATCTGCATTAAATAATGGTAAATTCTGCCGCCTTCTATATGATCCTTGCAGGCTTTGGAAACACACTGAAAGACAAAAAAAAAGAATGCCATCTTCCTAATGGGAATCAGTAAATCCTTGGGTCACTTTTGTCTTTAATCTGCATTACAACGAATAGCTCATGTCGTGCCCTCTGCAGCCAGAGGGCGCTCCTTCTCTGTCCTGTCTCTTGTTTCCGGTGCTTTGCTGTCCTTCCGGTGTTTCTCTCTCTCTGGGGCTATATATTTCTGGGTCTTTCATTTGTCTTTGCTCAGCATTGACGTTCGGATGTCCTGAAACCCGCCTAGCACCAGGTCGCTCCACGTCCGCTACCTGAGGGCATAGGTTTCTATACGGCACTCCCTGAACAGCTGAGCCCGGGCTAACCCCCGTCGCGCCGCTACGCATAGCGTCTTTTTGCTCTCCTGCCATTCTACGGTTCGTCCTTTCCGACATCCGTGACAGCTCAGGGAAAGTTTTAGTGTTTGCAAAAGTGTTTTGGCAGTTTTTCTAATTGGTGACGGTTGTACTGTACAACATAGTAGTTAATTCATCAGGAACAAAAATTCTGAAAGCTAAAAAGGCTTTTGCATCGATGTATCCATTTTTCAAAAAACAAAATTGTGCCCCCAACAATCACTGTTAAACTTTTATCTTTAAGACTTGAAATATAATTTCTAAAAAGATAAAGGGTGCATTTAAATATTATTTTAAATAGACTTGCATAGTCAATTCTTTGCAGAGGCTTGTGTCTAGGCTTGCACACAATACCATGCAGTTTAACACTTTGTTTCAACCTTGTAAAAAAGCTTGCAGAAATTGTACTTTATTTAATAACTGTAGACTTCCAAAAGTGTTTTGGCAAATTAACTTAACTTAATTAAGTTAACTAAATTAATCAACTGCTCATGCAAGACATGTACCAACACTCAATTTTGCTTCACTGCTGAAGAACAAGGCAAAAATAGAAACAATACAAATAACTTGTGTCACATTGTGAGGTCTGCTGTGTAGTTTGATAAAAGCATAATGACCTTGTAGCTAAACAAGGCTGGGCCTGATCAGTACTGGGACTCAAAAACCACAATGCTGCTTTAAGTGGTTTGGTGGACTCCCTCTGGACAAGAATTGCTAAACTAATTACCCAAGTATGGAGACAGGGGAACTTTGCTGTATAAGGTACCATAATGCAGATAAGATATTTGGCACACCTGCTATGCATCAGGGCAGTGGGGCTAGTTATGCCTAATGGCTGCTGCATGTCACCTGTGTCACCACTTGCTGTAGGTGGTTGTCCTTTATTTAAAGCTCGTTGGAAATGAAAAAAAAGCCATTTGAATGAAGGGATTGTCATTGAAGTAATTTTTAACCACTTGTAATACAGACACCAGCAAAACTATCACAATGGTGGAAAGGACATGCAATACACCTTTGTTAGTTCTGCTGCTGAAGGTGTGAACTATCACTTCAGATCCTAGCCTTGAGGCAGAAACAGCTGATACTTTTTTGAGCTAGACCTCAGCAAAAGCTGGCAACTGTCAGTCGCAATGCTAACAAAGAGAGCGTAGTGAAATAGAACTCAGTAGCATTTATTTTCAGTAGCCTTGAGTTGGAGAGCTGTCTCACAACGAATGCTTTCTCTATGTGACAACTATTATATCTCATGGAATAAGGAACAAAAAGCATTCCTATAATGGGAGCCCATGTTTTTCACAATTCATTTTATAGTGCAACATTTTAATTTGAGACATCAGCCTCAAAGGTTTCTGTTGTCAGTTACAAGAGAGTACTTATAGAGGAATATTCATCGTAGTGCATTATCACTGAATTCCTCATTTTTATGTACATTGTTAGCTTTTTAAAGTGGAAATTTGACATTTGACTTGTTTTATCCATACAGTAAGTGTTCAGTCTGAGTATTTGTTTTGATTAAAAAATATTAACTTTCAAAAAATGTTTAAACAGCATTTGTAATTCAACAAAATGAGACCTTGTTGATGGGGGAAATACTTTTTCTAGGCAAGGTATAAATGAAAGTTTTTTCAGTATAAGAACAGAGGCTTACCTCAGTGATGGGTGTATCTGAAGTACAGTATAATTTGCCATATTTAAGAGCAAGAAAATGGATGTTTAATAGCTAAAAATATTTTTGTTTTGCTTAACCTGGTGGATGATTTTGTATATCTAATGTTTGAAGACAGAATATTACTTAATAATCCGAGAGTCCTTCATCTCTTTCATCTAGTTTCTAATGAATCCAATAAACAGATTAAATATATAGAGAGATTACAATATTTACCTAGCTGAGGGAGTAGCAGCCTATTTGCGAGGATAAGGCTGCCCAAACCAACCTCTCTCTTGTGAGGAAAGAGCTGGGTACTGTAGCTGCTGCTATACACATAGGCAAGCAAAAGTGTGTGAGACTCAATGGTAATTGTTTTCGTGAACTGTGTGGTTAATTCCTTTTTTAAGATACCTTCACAGCTTGAAAAATTAGCAAAAAAGCGTCAGGCAATAAATATAGTCCTGTGGAGCAAATGGGAAGGAAGATGAAAGACACCATGCCCTTTGTAATCGAGCCCTTTATTCCTTATTATGCCTCCAGTTCTTACCTGACAATATACTTCTGTTGGATTTTGCTTCTTGAAGTACTGTGCTTCACTGTCTGCAGCTGTGGTTTCTCAGGTCAGATCTCTTCAGCAGAAGAATGATTCTTTGGCTTGAGTGTCTTTTTCATGATGTTTCCTCTGCTATTAAGTCTAAATAATTCTGTGAGAGCTTCTAAAGCATTTTCATAGCATTTTCACGCAATTACAATTCTAATTAGAATTACCCATGAATAACCTGATGACATCAAGTACTGTACGTTCCACAGAAACTGAAATTTATTTTTGTAGTTTCTAACAGCAGAAAATCTCAGGTTTTTATTTTTATAACATCGGGGGGCTGGCTATTTGTGCAGGCATCTTTTATAGGTGGGGTTTTAAGGGATATGACAGTTTTTTAATACAAATATCATTTTTGCATCCTCATGTCTGTTTTCCAGTCTAGGAGCAATGGTGTGTGTTTCTGTCTGTAATCTGTGTCTTGTGTCTGTTGCTTACTGGGATGGGTTCTGGCTTCCCCATGACCTGGTATTGGATAAAGAGGTTAGATAATGGATTAATGGACATCTATTCTACTTGATTTCATTATTTTACAGATGTTGTTGATGGAGTACCGCATTCTTGCAATGTAAAAATTAAAGTAAAGTCACAGAACAACCACCCTAGTTCAAGTAAATCTAAATCTGAAATGGAACACATCCAAGAATATTTAAAGTAAAAGATAATTTCAGGATGAACATTAGACATGATTTTTAATGACTGTATTTGCTATTTGTTTCTGTGTTGAGACTATAGGAAAAAATCGAATTGTCTGTTATTGTTAATGATCTCAATTCTGAAAGTCTTATGTTTTTTAAGTCTTTCAGCCTTGACAAATACAACTTTATTGAACATTATTGAACAGAGGAGATGTGCTTCTCAAGTCGTTGACTGCACTCAGATTTAGTCTTTTTTTTCATTCAGTTCATCTGGTTTTTCTTATTAACTTTTCATTTACATCCCAAAGAAGCTGTCAAGCATAAATGAAGGGAGCTCTAGGCTGCTGATTGCAAGCCCATCCTGGTCATCATGCTCAGATTGTAGAGCCAGAAAAAAACTAAATAAAGCACAGCAATCAAGCTAAATTCCATTAGTGCTGCTCCCAGGCCAGTTAATACATGGTATATGTCCACAAATTCAGCCATGCTAACACTTACCAATATAGCTTTGGCAAGTATAAGGATTTCAGTATAATTACAGTGAGGCTGCAGTCACTTAATAATCTTATTTTAATAAATCTCTGTCTCTATATATGCAGATACTGTGGTGGACAGGAGAGAAGTCTGCAAACCAAGGTCTCCAAACTCTTTGTGATGCTTTATTGCAGACATTTTGAATGAGATTGAAATGGGGTGAAAAAAAAAACTTTTTGTTCTAATATAATGTTATACATAAGTGGAATTACCCCAGAATACAATGTACAGTATGTAATATTTTACTTCATAATTCAAATTAAACTTATCACAATATAATATGCTTCAATGTAAATACAAATTGTTTCACTGTCTGCCTGGTAGTGTAGCAGATCCTCCTGTCAGGTAATGTGATTTTGGAGCACCAATGTACAGTACATACAAAGTAGGTTTTCTAGTGTAAGGATAGCAATTATTGAGCTGAGGTTGGACCAATCCAACTTTTTACCGTACCTGCCTGAGTTTGGTCACTGGCAGATCATGTTTGGCCTGAGGCCGAGACTGAAGCAAGAGTTTGTAGATGATTGGACACAGTTACTCTATTTTAAGTGCCTTATCAGAATAATTAAGAATTATCCATTCTTTTGGGTAATTTACCTACTTTGTGTCTCACTCCCAGAGACTTTATCATTCTAACTTCCTGGGAGTAGATTCTGTCTAGTCCTGTTCTCTTTTTTTTAGTGTGAGAAATCACTTCACTGCAGATGCAGTTTATTTATCTAACTGCCAGAGGCTGAATGTTATTTTGTTTCTTTAGTGTTTACTCACTATTCTCAGCAGTCTGAACAGAGCTCATCACTCCAGATTTTGCAGTTACATCACTGTAGTTAGTAGCTAACGTCTGAAAGTTTCAAAAGGATGCATCAATTTTATTTGGTAATATGGTGTTCAATTAATAATTGTATTGATTGTTTCTTAATTTCTCTCCTTTGGAGTTTCATAACACCCTTTCGTTGTAGTTCCCACAGATCTACAGCAAGCCTAGCAGATTTGCCTGAAAAAAATAGCCCAAAACGTTGTAACTATGTTTAGGCATTCTTGTTGTGCAGTTCATCTTGAAAGGAGAACATAAAGACACAATTTCTTTCTTTTTTTCAGGTGCTGCAAAAGTTGGGGAAAGCTGATGAAACGAAAGATGAACAGTTTGAACAGTTTGTCCAGAACTTTAAAAAACAGGAGGTAGGACGTTTTGTGTCAAGCATCATTTTGGAGACTATTGTGCATGTAATAAAGTGAAAAATCTAAAACAAATGTTTGCTTTTTTGAAGGAAGGATTTATAGCAATACAGTAGTTGTCATTGTACCATAATTAGAAGTGAGCATTTTTAATTGGTGACATTTTGACTGATGGACTACCATTCACCACTTTCTAATCCCATAATGCAACACTGTGCAGACAGTATCCGATTCTATTTAGAACCAACATTTAAGCCTGGCTTATAGCTCATATTTCCCAAAGTTACAAAAAACTTAAGGGAGGATTAATCCAAGAAGGATCTGTGTTTCCATGAAGTTATGGACAGTTTATAGTTTCAGATGAGACTATAAATATTTTTTCAGCTGGGCTGTTCATGAAATATTAGTGTATGTTTAACATAGGTACTTTTTGTTAGAAATTGTGCCCCATGATTTACAGTGCTTACTGCATTTTCCTTGGAAAAGTGAATACCTTGCATTGCATGAGAAGAAGGCAAACAGGCATCCCAGACTTTGAACACATTTACAAAAATTAACATTAATTTGCCTTGCAGCCCCTGGTGTTTAATTTTTTATCAAATAAATTACTGTTTGTTCTAGATTCAGTTTTTGGCAACAGACCACTACAAAATCCTATGAAGCATTTATATGCCATCACACTATTCAGAAATTTGTTTAAATTAAAAAAACAACACAACAGCATGGTACAGTATTAATGAAGTATTTTGGAATTTTAAGTTTAAAAGCCTTTGATGCAGTAACAATATTTGATTTTGCATTTGTAACATCAATATTGTTTTTTGTTTGCTAAACCTTTTAAAACATGTTTTATGGATTTCACGGCTTGTGTCGAAACTTTATGGAATGCTGAACAGTCGGATGCTTTCTGTACAAATTGACATCTAATACTTCATTCTGACATTATTAGTTTATGCTTATTCGTAAAAAAAAATTATTTAAAAAAACCATCATTATAGAGTCAAAACTGGAGGTGTTTTCAGAGCCAAACCTTCAAAAACATGACATTCTTAACAGTATAAGGATATGAGATAGGTGGAGGTTTTACTGAGGATGTTGTATATGTAATATCATAATATGTTGGCCACAGTGTCCTGTGAGTCTTTATACAAATAAAGACCTAATAATTAAATGTTAAAACGGTTGCTTTAATAAAAATCCAGAATCATATTTTCTGAAATGTAAAAAGAGTAGGTCCTTATTATCCTTTATTTATTCTTTTTATCCTTATTATTTGTTTTTAAACAAACTTAGAGATAATAATAGTATTAAAGGATTCATAGGATTCCTATTTACTGTTTAATGCAAGGGTTTGTTATGCATTAAGGGAAGCTCTATCTACTGTCCTACTGCTTGTTCATTAATAAAACATTGTGGCGTTGCAGGCATTAAATGGTGTGTATTTCCCATGCCACTTTAGCTTGCAGTTCCTTGAGGAAGTTGTCAGGAAAGCCAGTAGATCTCTGAAACCATGAGAAATTGTAATGAATGCAGAAATAAAGACTTCAATATCTACAGCATGGTGTCAGAAGCAACAGAAGGAAACAATTACAATGGCAATTTCTGGCAGACCCGGGATTATATTTAAGACAAAACAGTGAACCCTCAAAATCCTCCTAAATTTGTGGTTCAACCTTTTGGTTTTTGTTCTTTTATACATAGAGTCCAACATAAATACAGTATGCCAGTCTCAGCCACAATATCTGTTAAATCTAATTTAGCTTTCTCAACCAGAATTGCCCTGCTATTTTTAGCTTTCTGAATTCAGTACTCAAATGCTCTGTAAATGTAAGAACCCTGTTAATATATGAGCATACAGCACAAACAGAATAACAAGCATTAAATCAGTAGAGGCAGTTGGAGATTTGGTGACAGCATTGCTAAGGCAGTGAAGCTGAGGTCCCCTGGAGTCAGAGGGGTTAGTCACTGGGTATCGCCTGGGAGAAGAAGAAACTAAAATAGCATTTGGCCTGCTGTGTGTGAAAATTATACATTTTTTCAATTTCTACATTCTTAATCTTTCTTGAGGTTCCAGTGGTGTGTCAGAGAATTGAGCAATGAATGGTTGGTTTTCTTAATATAATTTTCTTAATCTGTTATTTTATATATCACCTTTAAGGGAAGCATCTCAAAGTGCTTGACAGTTCAAACAGAATAACACAATTTATAAAATTTACAGATAATTGCATACGTAATGTAGGTACTGAGGTCCCAAGCCATGTAGAGCCTTATACAGTGTAGGTGAACATCAGGATTTTGAAATCTACTCAGAACCCTATAAGAAGCCAGTGCAAGGACTCCAGGATAAGTGCAACGTGATCGTTTGCGTGTGACTTGATCAGGTTGGCTGAACACATTGAATTTTTAAGTTATTCTTATTTATTATATTTATTTCATATTTTATAATTCATATTTTTACGTCCTTACTTATTTTTACTATTTGTAATATGTATAAATTAAAAAAATGGTAAGACAATTGGTTTTCAAATCAATCTACACTTACAATAAGTTGTGCTTTCACTTATAACCCCTGGAAGTTGACCACTGCGCTTTGTTTTTTACTCTTATTTAATGTTCCAGGCTATTGGTATATTTGTTTAAAATGTTGTCACCAGTTAGACCAAAGAATGGTGTTAGATGCAAAATTATACTGACTGTCTCACCTATATATTTTTATGCTGCTAAGAATCCACATTCAATTGTATTTATTGGTAAAGGTGATGGTATCATAATGACTGGAAACCTCCAGCATGGACAGAATATGCAGCAGTGGGTCTCTCTCATTGAAATGTATCATGGTTTATGGTGCACAGAGTATTTACAGTTCGCCAGATACGGTGTGACTCAGCAAAGGCCCTGAAGGTTTAGCTTCCTCGTAGAGCATTACAGAAGCTACTGAAACGGGGTAGACAAGTTACAATGTTTGAGATGGAGATTCTCTCAGAAGAGAACAATCAGATTGAGACAAGAGAAACAGTGTGTATGAACAGTACATAAGACTTTAAAATTTTAAAATGATGGTGGTCAGGAATACAAACACAGAGGAGTCAAGGACAGCAGTATGGAATGTGGAATGTAGGCAGGTGAAATGTCAAATTGCAAACTTGTGATAAATTCCTCAGACTGATGAGAACCATCTTCACGTGAATGTCCTTGGATGTTCTCTTAGGTAGGTAGTTGTAGGCAAACTGTAAACAGCAAGACTGTCTGTTTGGCATGCCTAATTCCAGAAATGTGATCCCAGTAGCAGTACATGATGTTTCTGTCTTGAAACAGTGAGTTTATCTGATTTGGGCTATGCAAAGAGAATGTGTTTTCTCCTCCTTGTTCCCAGCATAGCAATGATTTGAAGCAATGAAGTATGTCATGAAAAATAGCCATGTTTTGATAAACTGGTTTTAAGTTATGCGTTGTGTTCATTTGGAATTTGTCTTCATTATGATACAAAATATAAGAAATTAATCCGCTAACAGCCTTGCAGCTGGAGTGTTATCTGTGTGGAGTTTGCATGTTTTCCTTATTCGAGTGGATTTCCCCTCACAGTCCAAAAACATATTTGTACTGTAGGTTCATTGGCTTTTGGGAATATTGGTCCTGGTGTGAGTGTGTGCACATCTGTCTCTATTTCTACTATGTGATAGACTGCCATCCCATCCAGGCTGTAGTCTGATTTGTGCCAGTTGCTTGCCGAGTTAGGCTCTGGCTCCCCCATGAACCTGTGTTGGATTATAGGTTAGGAAATGGTGATATTTTGGGGGCATGCCTACAGCACCATAGTTAGCAATCACAGGCTATATGCTTGCTGTCTGGCAGCACCAAGCATGATAATCCAATTGGCCAGCAATGTGTCTAGGAAAAAAAAACAACCAATAAGACGAAAGTGAAAGATGAATGCACTTCTGTAAGGCACTGTTTTAGAGAATATCAGCATGTTTGTTTGATAATGTGGTTGAGTCCCCAAGAGTCTAACAATTTACTACTGCAGCTCATGGAACAGAGTTCTAGTATTTGCCAGTAATCTATTTACTCTCCCAGGTATTTTAGCCAAAAAATGAGTTTATTTTCTTCCTTATTGGGGTCTTGTTAAGATGAATGAGAGTGGTCTCGATTTCCCTCGAGATTCTGCATCCAGCAGTCTTCAAAGAGCCAGGTCTTTGTGCTGTATAACTCTTCTCAGATCTCACAGAGTCATTTCAAAGTTTGGCTATGTATATTTTGATATTTAATAACAAACAGCTTGTTATAAAGCTTGAGAAGATAACTAAATGGTTAAGCTGTCCCAGAATTTATCATCAAATGTTGTCTCATTAGGAAAACAGTAATATAGAGTTTTTTTCTCAAATAGAAGAATAGTGTTGAAAATAACCAGTGGCTTAGAGCAAAAACTAGCAGAATTATTTTCAGATTTCAAACCTGTTGTTTTTTTATTCTGTACAACCTTTGTTGGTGGATTTTCTTTAAATGAACAACTCAAGATAAATTCAATATGAATAAAAAGTTTTGATTTCTAGAATTCTCTGTCAATAATGAAAAATGTAGTAATATTTTTTGTTAATTTACAATTAAGATTTATAAATACACTTTTATGAAAAAATAATACTTGCTCTCATGATTATTCCTCCTCTTTTAATTCAGGTATTGCAATGATGCTTTGTCACATGCTTTGTCAGATGGAGAACAAATATCAAGTCACGGTTTTACTGTTTTGCTCAGTTCATTTTAGATTTTTTTTTTTCCCAAAACAGTCAGTTTTAAATTGACCTTGCACAAATATTTCTGCCTAGATTATAAACTGTAACACTTGTAACTTAGTCTCTAATGAATGGAATCACAGAAGATTCCTTTGGTTTATAAGTCAAGGCCTGTCTGAAATATTGCTTTATTTTAATTACAATGAAACCTTTTCAAAAATGAAAATCCTCTAAACATATGAATTAGTGAAAAACAGCTTTTGACCAAGCGCA